TCAGCCCACACAGACACCCCAGGTCCCTACAGCCCACACAGACACCCAGGTTTCCTACAGCTCACACAGACACCCCAGGTTTTCAAGTCTTTCCTGTAGGATGTGGCTGGGGTTAGTGTTCCTTTGTTCTTGAATCCTCAGCTTCAGCATCCTCACCTCCAGTCACATCTGAGAGTGATACAGCATCACTTCCTCTCCTGTCCTCTTTAAATCCAGATACTTACAACTCATCTATACATATATAATTAAGGCACACAATTTACAAAGAATAACAATGGCCTTCTCCAGGGTAGCCTATAAATATGGTGTTTACTATAGAGACATTTATAGCTTCATTAAGACAACTACTTTGCTGTGGTAAAGCCTCCTCTGTGAGATAAAACTTTACAGCTAGTGTTAGGGGTGAAGAGAGACAAGAGGAGTTCACAAGATAATTTAAAAAACAAATGTTGCAGAAACATGTACAGTAAAAGCATGCAGGTAAGAGGGTGGAGGTGGGTTGGGGGAAGGGGAGAGGGAGAGAGAGAGAGAAGGAAGAAGGGGAGGGTTGGGGAGGGTTGGGGAGAGATGGAGGAAGGATGGAAATGGAAGCAGGGAAGAAGATATCTTCTTTAAGGGAGCCATTTTGGGGTTGGCAAGAGGCTTGGCTCTAGAGGGGTTCCCAGGTATCCATGGGGATGTCCCCAGCTAGGACCGTGGGCAGTGGAGGAGAGGGTGCCTGAACTGGCCTTGTCCTGTAGTCAAGACTGATGACTATCTTGAATATCACCATAAAACCTTCATCCAGAAACAGATAGAGACAGAGACCCACATCAGAGCACTGGACTGAGCTCCCAAGATCCAGTTGAAGAGAAGAAGGTGGGAGAATATGAGCAAGGAAGTCAGACCAAGAGGGGTTGGTCCACCCACTGAGAGAGTGTGATTGATCTCATGGGAGCTCACCAAAGCCAGCTGGAATGGGACTGAACGAGCATGGGATCAAACTGAACCCTCTGAATGTGGCTGACAATTGGGGCACACTGAGGGGCCAATGATAATGGCACTGGGATTTGTCTCTACTGCTTGTACTGGCTTTTGGGGATCCTAGTCTATTTGGATGCATACCTTCCTAAGCCTGGATGGAGTGGGGAGGGCCTTCGACTTCCCACAGGGCAGGGCACCCTGCCCTCTCTTAGGACTGGAGGGGGAGGAGGGGAGGGTGAGTTGGGGGAGCAGGAGGGAAATGGGAGGAGGGGAGGAAAAGGAAATTATGAATGGTATTATTTATAAAGCAATAAAAAAAGAGAAAAAAAGAAAAAACAAAACAAAAAAGCATGTAACCCATGCAAACCCATCTCACTGTTCTCCTCCTCTAACTGAGGCTACAGAATGACCAACATTCCCTTGACTCTGTACCCTAAATCTGACTAGCTGCTGCTTACACATTATGGCTTATGTCAGATTTCCATAGAGACTCCTCAGATGGTCCATGTTCTTGAAGAAAACAGACAGACAGACGACTTGTTTATTTGTTCCTGTCTTTACTTCCACCGCCCCTGAGGTCTAGAATGTCTCCTCCATCCTCAGATTGAGCTGTTGCAGTCAACTCTGAACTGCCCTCACGCTAACTGTTCGCTCTCTGATATTCCCACACTTGTATTTACCCCTGTTAGCCAATGGATTCCTTAAAATAGCTGTCACTCTATCTAGCTCCATGATGTCCTGATTTCAAAATGCTGAACATGGATCTCTTCCCTGTGTCCCCCCAAACATAAAGGACTTGGCACACACATTAACAGATTTATCAGTGAATTGTAATGTGCATATCTGCAGGGTTAAGACAGGAAGGGCATACGTTCAAGGCTAGTGTGGGCTACACATTAGGAACCTGTCTCAACAAAAATAAGAAAGAAGAAATAACATCAAATAAACTAATAACGGCATCAAGCTTACTGGCTGGGACCTGGCTACATTTTCCAGGTACAGAGTGCTACACCTAAGTGTGCACTGAAATGTGAGTTTCTGAACGAGGAAAATAAGGGTGCAAAGTGCATGTAAATGCGCAATCATCAATTCAAAACTGTTTCATTAGAGGTACCATCACGCCAGGAGGCAGAGGCAGGCAAATCTCTGGGAGTTCAAGGCCAGCCTGGTCTACAGAGCGAGTCCCAGGACAGCCAGGGCTACATAAGGAAACCCTGTCTTGAAACCTCCCCCCCCCCAAAAAAAAAGTACCATCACAACTAATTATTCCTACAATTATTTTTTTCTAGGACTCTTGTTGCAGGAAGCTTTTGATTTTGTGTCAAGTGCTGGTTTTTAAAGGGTGAGAGAGTAAAGAGTGGGCTGCACAGCAACCAACAAAACGTATACAGGATCTACCTTCTTGGTCTCTGTGAAGGGCCACAGCCATCCTGACCTCCTTCCTCTATGATCTCACTAGAGCCAGGAAAGAACCTGCCCAACTCGGTGACATAATTTTCACTCAAGAACAAACAATTTTCTACCTTTGAAAAACGAACAGCAGTTACCCTCTATCAATACTATCATCCAGTATTATCCAGATAGCTACATCCAAAAAGAAAACTCATGCTGTAAATACCATCAATGAACGTGGCTGTACGCTTTGCCACAGGATCTCAGTGTCATATAGATTCTCAACCCTCCTGTCCCAGCCCCGAGTCCTGGGAATACGGGTGTCCACCACCACATCCACTAGAGGCCTCGGTGACCTCTCATAAATTAGAAACAACACACGGATGAATCAGACTATGAAGGATCCTGACGCCAAACACCGCCTTGCCCCAAAATTAAAAACGAGCATAAAATGAAATGGCATTAAGTATCACTAATCCTTGGACCTGTCATTTTAACTTCCTAAAACTTAAGGTTCACGGGCATCAAGGGCCAAGTGCATTCTGAACCTTTGCTTCCAAACACATTTATTGCAAATGACATCAACTTAAAGGTCTCCCCCAAATCCCACTCCCACACACACACAATGGTTAAGCACAGCCTCCCTTCTCTGATCTGCACCTCTCAATTTCCCTGGGGTGAAAACTCTTTTTTAAAAAATCCAAACAATGTACTAAGGGATTCTGCCATGAAGGAAAGTAAGAATTTCCACAGCAGCCCTCCTAGAAGCCCTTGGGTCAGTGCAAGTTAGTGTGTTTCGCCCTTTAATGATAACCTCATAAAACAGGCTTTCACGACTTACCAGTTTTAGTGGGATAAACTAGTGTAGAGAAACCCTAGCTTTCTAGAAAGACTGTCAATACAGCATTACGATTTTCCGAGAGCTTCTAGAATATTTTTGGGAGCTACAGCTTAACTTCATCCTGGTTACAGGTGCCAGCACTTTCTTAGAAATGGACCTGGGTGCAGAAGACTGCGTTTTCGGCGTTAGGAGAGTCCGGCTCTCGCTAGAACTCTCCGCCGACGTCGATGGAGAAATATGGCAACGAGAGGGGGCGGGGCAGACAATGGAATAAACTTTTGTCCCAACTGTTCGGTAGGTCCGAGCAGCCCGGCGCTGGCGACCCCACCGCAAGGCGTTAGCTACCGAAAGCGTTGGCAGGGATGGGAAGGCAACTCTACCTCTGGCCGCCGGGAGGAGGGCGGTGTGCCGTCTGTCCGCGTCCTCGCTCTCCCTCCTTCGGGCACCGACGCCCAATCTCACGCACGAGCGGGTTCCGGCTGCTCCAAAACTTCTCCACCAAGTCCCCGGAGACCGAGCGAGCGCCGGGCTGGGCGAGCCGCAGCAGCTGCAGCCGAGACACGGCGTCCGAGCCTGCAAAGCGACACCGAGTCAGGTGGGCGCCCGGCCGGCCGCACCTGTCAC